TTTAACAAGTTTACTAATGGCTGTAATAATGACTACTGCCCCATGTGAGAGTCATGGAGGCAGGAATGGATGCAGTGGAGATGTTCTCTCAAATAAAAGAAGAAAACGATTTTGTCATAGATTTGCAGATTATTTTCTTGCTCCTGATAAATTTTAACCTCTTGTTTCCTTTATATTTGAAGACAGTTGGGTTTGTATAGGCTTATGCCCCCCATGGATGTTTTGGCTTTTCAGATACGACTGTCACAAAATTAATGATCCAACTGACTCACTCTTCTAGGAGGCTAGCCAGCAGGGACACCTTTTTGTGTGGTATGTCCTTGTCTTTTCTCAGGACAGTGGTCATCTTTCAACAGTCTAGTGATTCACCAGAAGTGTTTTCCACGAATACTTTCACATCATTACATCATGTAGAAAGGTGTAGAAGGTACTGTGGTGGACTCAGACACTTAGAATCATAGAATCATAGAATCATTTAGGTTGGAAGGGACCTTCAAGATCATCAAGTCCAACCATTGAGCTATTAGGGCTCTAAAGTCCTCTGCTAAAACAGATCAGAATCTGTCAGGGTTGGAAGGGACCACAAGGATCACCCAGTTCCAACCCCTCTGCCATGAGCAGGGACACCTCCCACTAGATCAGGCTCCCCAGAGCCTCATGTGCTACCTATTCCCAATGACCTCAACTTCCTGACTACAGACGTCAGCCATTCTGTCACATACAAGCAGGAAAACCTTGCTATCCTGTCAAATCACACCTTTTTTCTTGTAGAAGAGATTCAAATGAGGCTAGTTTCTTAGCCACTTTTTTCACCCTCCTTTTATTGCCGTCTACTGTCCTTCCTTCCTTGTTCACTCATATGCCTATTTAACCTTTTCTCATACAAGAATTTCTGCTTTTATTACACTAGTTTCCAACTACTCTTTTTTAAGACTAAATCTTTTTCATTTGAATAGCAGCCTGAATGATAGTTTGTGTTGTTTGCCTGCCTTGCTCTCCTGCTGTATATGTCCAGTTTTTACGTTTATTTTGACCTGAAGAAACAACGTATCTTTGGGAAGTTACAGGTCTCGTGCCTTGTCTTCTCTCCTCTTCTCAACAAAAGTCTTAATCTGCTAGTTAGAACTTATTTTTAGTGAACCAGCCCTTTCTGTTCTCCATGATCTCCCTTAGAGCATAACAGTTATCTGCCATTATTTTAATATTTTGCTTCATACCATTATGGATCAGATTGTTATAGGGAACCTTCTCTTTCTTTCTATTCCCCTATTGTAAAAGCTAATGTTAAGAATTAATGATACTTCTAAAAGTTGTTTGATTCTTTTTGTTTCTTTTTGCATCACAAAGCATAAAGTTGCTGAAGTTTGAGGTAGCATATGCAATAAACTTTTTGGTCTTAAACTCCTTGTTTGGCATTAAATATCTTTTTTTGTTTACTGCATGTTCTGTGAGGAAGTATGCTGTATCTTACTAAAGAATGAATTTTAACATTGGCATTGTTCATTCTTCTACAGAAGGGTAAGCATCAGTTTTCTTCTTTTTAGTTTAATGTGTTGACTCAGTCAATAAAATCTAAGAATATCTGCAGACTTGTATTCAGTACACTGGAAGTTTATTCTCAAGTTTTAAAGAAATATGTATTCTCTGTTTGCCCAGTAACAGCTCAGAGTGAAACAACTGTGGGACATCAGCAAAAGATGAAGCATTCACAAACTTAAGCAACCACTCGGGCAAGACTAGTTTTGGTACCAAAATTAATGTTTACACTCCCTCTTACTCCTTTCAGCCCTGGACTTAATTGATCACAGAAGTAACATTGTAAAATACACATTAAGAAATATCTGCCTGCAATTTTATTTTTAGGGAAAAATGACAGGAGTTAATGAAACAGAAACCATCAGATGGAGATTCAGATATTTTACGTGGTTTCTAATACAGCAAAAGCAGCACTGAGACCTGACTCAGTGTCTAAGCCTTGCAGTGAAGTTCATGAGAATCTCATCTAATAAAGGAATATAGTACAACTTAAGGCTGTAGAATCTCTGCTTACAGTCCAGGTTTTGTTTTTCTTTTTTGCATAGTTCAGATAATGCCATGATACCTAAGGTCGTGTTTGTGGCATGACACACACTGCATGAGCTTTATTTGAAGGGTAGGGTGACAACTGAGAGTCTGTCATCAAAATTTTTTTTAGAAGGAAGATTTCATTAACATCAGAGATATGAATCATTATGTGACAGCTTGCAGACTGAAGACATACACACAGCTATTTGCTTTCATTTGAATGCAAGACTGTGACAGGATCCCAGCTAACACAAAAATGTTGGCAGTTGCTTATGAAATGATTGCTATGACTATGAGAATTGTTACAGATGTTGATTTTGTGATGATGCTTACTAAAATCCCATTTCATTTAGCACTGAGATGCTCCACTTAGAACATGTCAGACATCAGATGATTCAGAGATAAAAATGATAATGAAGCAGCTGTGACAGGAGCACTTCTGTTGTGTCTCTGAATGCATATTCTGGTCCATCCACCCACTTCACTCCAAGGGTTATCTATCATCAGCAGGTAAAAACAGGAAACAATAATAGAACAAATCCTCTGAAAAGTTTGTGAAGTCATTCTGTACCTGAGAAAATCAGACTACATTCTTTTTGAATCATAACCTCCAGGAAATCTTTATTTCAGTAATTTCCTATAGTCATGCAGTGAGAATTAGTGTCAGTAAAAGCCCCCAGTGCTTAGCACATTTCTCAGAAAGCTCATGTGTCTTGTAGTACAAGTATCACCACTTTTCATCTCACAGCCATAGATGAGAATTAACACAATCATTAATCTACATATATTTTGGTAGAGATGCAACCTTTAAAACTCATTGCTGCCTTTAAAAGTACAAATGTCTGTTAACTAAAAGGACAGAGAAATAAAAAAAATCTAAATACAGGAAGGGAATTTTCATCTTTTATGACGGTCATTCTTTTAATTTCCAAAATCCTTTTTAAAAAGGATAATAAATCAGCTATGTTCATTCAGTTTCCCGCTAAAAGGACTTAAAAGCCTGCCTTTGCATCCCCTTTCTATTTTCTTTTCTTAGACTGGATTTCTTTACAAAGCTATTACTACAAGGTGAAGAGAAAGGATGTCAGTGGTTCTGTCCACGTGTTGTATTGCAGGTCGTGAGTGATTTGAAAAAAATGAAGAAAGGTATGATGCAAATCACACTGTGTGTGGAGAAGGGCACGTCTTTCTATATCTCCTATCTTTGCACTGCATTGATTCCAGCTGCTCCCAATTTCAGAAGTGTTTTCTGTAGGCTGTAATTGTCAAGGTCAGCTTCTATCTTGTTTTGGAGAGAGAAACAAGAGAACGCTACTATTTGTCTTCAAAAAATATTGTTTAAATCATGTCAGGTGGACTTTAGATTTTGATTTAATGTTCTTGTAAGGTCACCTTTTAGGTAATTTTGTGCAAGGCAGCATGTTCACTGAACAATGCACAATGCTGAGAGGAATGAGAGGTGGTAAATCTACAGAGTTTTTTTTCCACATTGCAAAATCAAGAAAATCCATGACATTTGTTGATTGACATAGCTTAAGCTTATCTAAATAACCAAATGTTCAGTGTGGGCTTTCGGTAACCTATTAGCACAATAAATTCTGATACAAAATGTTTTTTTTCTTGGTTTTGTTCTTTGTTTGCTCGTTTGTTTAGTCCGACCCATTGCAGTTGCAATTTAATGGTGGGGACTTGGCAGGGTACCAGTTGCTTCTCAACCTGAGAGACAGGATCTATAACTCATGAGGCTGTGGTTATTCTTAGTGGGTTTGTCCCTGCCATCTGAGTTTAAAACCACCCTGTTCAAATTTAAATTGTTAAATTTAGATCATGCAAAATTAAAGGTTACATCAGATACAGTGATTAAAAAAAATTATGCATTGCACTTTTTGTCATCAGTGAGGTGGATGTGGAGTTTCAGCACTAGCTTCAGCAGGACTGTCCAGTATATACTGCCTGCAGTATATATATCACAATGGAGTATATAACCTAGATATCTAAATTTAAGTTCAGTTCAAATTGATAGCTCTTTAAATGACATGGCCATAAGTCCATGCAAAAGATAATAAACCTGAAATTCACCTCAACTTGTCAGTACAGCCATCTCATTTCTCTGAGATGAAGGGAAGAAGATGTTGTACCATTGCTGTGGTTTGAAATTCTCTGTTTAGAAGCCTGCAGGTTCATACTCATTTTTTAACACTTCCAGTTAAGTTCTGGGAAGTTATTTGGTTTTTAAAGCACTGCACTGGTATTTTAACTGTCCTTGTTCAAGCATACCCAGGTGTGACACTACTTGTTAGTAGTTTGGGAGACTATGTCCAAGTCCTTTCCCTGATCATACTGATGTTACTGTATCTAGCCCTAGGAAATGCTTGACAGTAGTGTACCTGGGCTGTTGCCCAGTTCTAGAGCTCAGTCAAGGACTGAAGTGTTCTCTGCATGAAACCTATATAAATGCTGAGCTCTAGAATCCTTAAGACAGTCAAAACTACAAATATTAGCACCAGTTATTTGAAAGACCTAGTCAGAGGTGCTCTATTTTCAGATTAGTCTGTGTAATTAGCTGAAAGGAAAGGGAAGCACAAGTTCTCAGCTTGTCCTGCTTTAAGTCAGATTCCAATTTCTTCAGCAAATTCCCCACAGGTGCAAGAGGCATTCACTCCCTGGCTGGACACCTTGCTCCCTTCTTGTCAAAGGTGCATCATTATGCTGTGTGGAGAGCAAGACCAGCTGTACTAGGTGGGATGAGCAGTGATCCATGAGTGTGTTAGATGAATTTGGTCCCTTGGGAATTTCCACACAGTGCCATTAAGTGTATAAAGTCTAATGAGACTGGTTTCTTAAGCCAGTCTTGGTCTGGGTATGTGTACAACTATGACCACTTGAGAATTTCACTCAGTTCGATGTAAAAAATTTATGTAACAAATTAGGATAGATCCCTGCTGGTCTAGTGGTTAGGATTTGGCGCTCTCACCATCACAGCCCGGGTTCAATTCCCGGCCAGGGAAACTGAATTTTGACAGGCTGAGAGAGCTGGGGTTATTCAGCCTGAAGTGAAGGCTCTGGGGGAAGCTTATAGTGATAGACCTCCCAGTACTTGTCTATAAGAAGGCAGGGGAAGATCTGTTCTCAAGGGTTTGTAATAACAGGACAAGTGGTGAAGGTTTCAAGCTAGAAAAGGTGAAATTTAGGTTAGACAATAGGAAAAAGTTCTTTAATGTGAGGGTGGTTGATCAGTGAACAAGTTACCCAAAGAGGTGGAGAAGGCCTCATCCCTGGAGACATTCAAGGTCAGGCTTAATAGGGCCCTGAGCAAACTGACCTAGCTAGAGATGTCCTGGCTTATTTATTGTAAGGTGTTTGGATTAGATGGCCTTCAGAGCTCCCTTCCAGACCAATACATTCTGTGATTCTATGATAAAACAGTTAGTATTCATGAGTTAGTATTCTGAAGCACCATTATACACATGGATTCCTATATTTTTAAGCCTACTTTACTAACTGAAAGTCTTTCCTTAGATTTGGCCCTTTGTTTCTTCAAAGTAATCGGCTTTGTTGGTAAAAGATGTGGCTTCTCTATCCCAAAGGAGTGTGATAGGGATGGACATATAACCATGATGAGTTGATCAGCTGTGATGTGGTCACAGAACAATCTAAATGGCTAGATATACTTGCCTAAAATATATTTCCAAAAAGTTATCAGAATTTCCAGTGAGGAAACAGACTTGTGACATATTAAG